TAGAGATCCTCTCCTCTGGACGTAAAGTGACTGTTTTGCATCGTTACAGGCGTTCGTCCTGTCAAATTAATTCGTCGCGATTCCTCTTTTTTTCGACTCTGTTTCTTTCGTGTTTTTAGCATCGCTCAAGATCCACGAGATTCACGCGCATAAATGTCAGACTCTCTTAAACGCTCTCCCCTTCGATTCAATTTTTCCCGTGGATAATGACCCTCGAAGCGCATTTTTTCTTTCCAATCAATGAAGATCGTGTTATATTTTATCGCGGCTACTTTGTGTCTTGTTCTTCTTCTTTTTTACTTTTATTTGTAATTTTATTTATAAACTTTTCCAAATGGAAGTTGATTTTGCAATCGATAAAGATCAAAGAGAAGAAAGGGAACAAGAAGGATATTTGGATTAGACAAGGATTTATAACAATTTGCGTGAAATATTTTGTACATTTTTCTTTTTTTATCTGTTTTCTTTTTTTTTTAATTTTGAAATTGTGCTATTCAGTTTTTGGATAATTTTAATTTTCCAGTTATCGTTAGTTTTAGATTACATTAACTCTTGGGAACGTTTTTGTGGAAAGCAGTGTTAGATATTCTTGGCACGTACTGTCCTTATTGAGTCAACGAACTGAAATGATTCCTAGAATATTACGTTGGACTTGTTGATAGATAATCGTCAAAATCGTATTTGAAGTAATACAAGTCCAAAACATATATTTACAATTTCCTTCTACTAAATTTTCAATTTACATTCGAAAATATAATTCGTATATAATAACGCACAACTTTTATTATTTACATAACTGTATTTAGAATCTATTGTTAGAATTTCCAAAATATCCCCAAGCATGTATTCCGAGTAAACGACGAATTTAATTTTCCAGAACAAGATTCTCGTTTCGTAGGCTTACAATTATAACTCGTATTACTTTCTCTTCCTAAGATCTATTTAACGTGTCTCTTGGTATCCAAAATATAGTCCCAAGGATACCTTCCGAGTAGGCAAAAAAAAAAAAGAAAAGAAGTTCATTCGTTCCAGGACGAATTCTCGAATTCTGTTTTCCGTCGTGGCCATTAGCACGAACGTTCACCGTTTCGAGAAGATATTCTCGAGTTTCACCCGGTTTCCCGCGACTAGAAGAGAACTGATTCAGATTCTTTGTTCGGGGAAGCGGTCGGTTAGGTGCGAATATACCGATATAAACCTGTTCAAAATCCCTGGAACACCGGTTCGACGTGTCCGTTTGTCGGAATTTTTGGATTTTCGAGGAAATCTTTCAACCTCCATCATAGAGTCGTACGATATATCGGTTTCGTTTCGAACCGAGCCCACCTCTGGTGAACGAACCATGATAAAGGAATTAAACTTCGAGAAGGTTTAGGGTTGTTGCACCACGAGAGAGAACAATGAATCGCGCGGAGACACGTTTTAGAGAAAACGTGAGAGGGATCAATCTTTCGAACGTGTCTCGTTCGAATTGTTGAACGATGGCGGCGTTCTTAATTTTAGAAGCGAGATTCCGTGAATTTCGATGTCTTTGAAGATGTAACTCAACTCAATTTGTCCGTTTTATAAAGTGTGGATGTTGAAGTATCCCGTAAACTTGGATATTAATTCGTTCGATTCTAAGTATTTGTATGTACGAATATTTTGTATTTTGGTATTTCGTCAATATTTTTCTTATTTCAGGAAAATAAATTTCGGAAAGATTTCTTCTTGTTTCTTGGAACAAGTCAGCTTCTTTTTCTTCTTTGATTATTGAATTAATTCAACTTCATTTTATGAATCTTATGTCTGTGATATTATCACCATTCTTTGTGCAAATCTTTGTAAAAACAAAGACGGAGATTTTTAGGAGTTTTAAGGAATTTTTCTTCTCGTTTTTTCTAGGAAAGGAGAAATTGTTACGTTTTCAAACATGATGATTATAAATAGAATCTTAGTGACTTCTTTTTTTTATTTAATAATCCCTTATAACATTAAACGTCCGTCACGTACATATAAATCCATCTCTTTCGATTCATCAAAATACTCCTTACTCCTTTCATCCTTGCTCTTCAAAAATTATCAACAAATCAACAAATTAACCATCCACGACAACTTCCCCGATTAACCTCGATCCGTTTCCTCGCGAAGCCGTGCGATTTTTCAATTTAATTAGGCGTGCGTCTGTCGACAAATCGACCAAGATCGCGTTACACCGAAATTCTACTGCCAAAATTCTCGTTAACTACCCGCCACTCGACTCGACACACACGCTCTTCCCTTTTCTTCTTCCCCCCGTCTCCCGAAAAGAGAAGAAGAAGAAAAGGAAGAAGAAGAAGAAAAATAAAAAAAAGAAACGATCGATTTTGATCAAAGCGTATTAGACACGCGTTTCGTTATTTATATTACCAGCAATGATATATTTTCTGATTTGATCCTTCGCCGACATGTTCACGGTTCGCGCTTCGTGTTATGTCGTGCATAACAACGTCTGCCAAGAAGACAGGCTAACCAGTGGTGCCAGTTTACACGAGATAACGCGTAGCGGGCGTACCAACGATTATAGAACGCTATTTCTATATTCTCATTATAATTAGACTGTTTCTAAATATGGACGTTTAAATGCGAGTAAAACGTGTAAACGCGGGTATCCGCGCGATAAATGAAATTTACTTGTTTATGGTTAATGATACTTGGAGATTGATGATGGGAACGTGACGTGTGGATGGATGTGAGCAGAAGAATTTCTCTTTTTATTCGAAAAATATCGAAAAGATGAGGAAATAGAATTTAGAGAATAAAATTTATTCTTTGGTCTGAAGATTATGTAAAGTATCTGGTTTCTTGAATATAATAGTTGTGCATATACGATGATATATTGGTAATAATAGAGTGCAATAGTACGATGATATAATATCATGGAGTAATATAAAGTAGTAAAATATATTTGTAATTCATAGTTGAATTCGATGATTAGGCTTGAAGAATTGATATCGAGAAATTGTTTTTTGTACAATTTTTAAGAAGATCGATCAATTGCGATCAAATTTATTTTTTTAAGACATATAATTTTGTTTTGAGCTATGGAAGATAGGAATGATTTTGTATCTATTTTTATACGTTACGTTATACGATAGAATGTATAGAATGATAAGAATCTCGAAGGCTTATATATCGTTTTCATCGATAAACAAATATTTATTATTAATCATCACGCTTCTTGAAATTATTCATAATACTTGTTGCATTTTAATAGCGCCATTTACACTTCTTTGATATTTTTAAGTAATAAAAATAATTATGTCTGATGAATATAACGAATGATTTAAAAATTAAATACATTAAATTACATCAAATGGGATGATCTTTCACGAAAGGGATCAATGTTTCCAAAGTTTCTAAAGGAAAGGAAAAATAGTTTTGTTGCAACATTACGATAATGAAACTACCCCGAAAATCGGTCTCAGTTTGTAGAATCAAGCGGCCATCGTCACGTTGACAATCATCACGTTTCGTCGCGTGAATTCGAGGCCTGCCAAGAAATTCGATGACACAGTATCGGTACTGGGATTCGAACAGTGACTCGTTACCGAGCAACATGTAGGTCGTTAATTTTATTTCCAATCAACTACCGCGTTGGTCGAAACAATTGATTCAGAACGATCAATAAAACAATTGTATATTGCACAAAAAGAAAACACGCTTTCTGCCTACTGCGTACGTTTCGAGTATATACTAGGTGACACATAGTTTTTATGTATACGATACCGTGATTGACTCATTGAGGTAGAACGATTTTTTAACTTCTTTCATCTCGAAATTAAAGAAAATGTTGATGTGAATTTTTATTGGCGGTAGAGATAGAATTTTTGAAAGAAAATTATTTGTCACTGTTCAGCATGGATAATGAAAAATCGATTATCTGTAAATATTTTAAGATAGGTATTAAATATTTATTATTTTTGTTATTGGAGTTTTTCGTTTTAAAAACTTTTTAATAAAAATCTTGGAAAAAAACAGCGTGAATCATGATTGTTTCTAACTTAGTTACTATCTAACAAACGATTAACACACACATTAGAATTCCATGTATTCAAAAATGCTTATTCATCAAAATTATCTATAAGTAACTATTGTATAACAATATAACGTAGTATGCAAAAAATAACGTTCGACCTTCGAATTAAATCACTGATAGGAAAAAAAATTCTTTCATAAAGAGGATTAGTAATTTCAATTTTAAAAAAAATAATTATTTGATCCTAGATTTCAGAGTAACATTATTAAAATAATATTTATAAATTACGAAAAGAAACTATTTATAATATTTAGTAAAGAAAATAAATCTCTGTTTAATTTAATTTACTATTCTTTTACATCATAATCATAATTTATTACGAATATTTAATTAAAATTATAAAAGGAACGAGTGATAGATCAGACATTAATCACGAAAATAACATTCAATAAGATCAATCATCTTCCTGCTTCACTCTTCTTCAAACAAAACGACAAGCATTAAGAATACTATAAATATATAAAATCCCAATCCTAACGAAAATTCAACGAAACATAAAACATAAAATAATTCTTCGCCTATAATTGAAAACCTCTCCACGATCAATCTTCCGATCATCGCGTTTCTCGAAATCTCACGAAATCCCCCCTCACCACCATTTAACACGTCACCCCTTTTCTCCCCCCTTCCCCCTATATACGTTCCAGTTAGGAACCCAGTTTCCGTGGAAATTGTCAGACAGTTCTCGTTTGACACTCGGTCTGCCAAGAAACACCGATCACACGACACCGGCGCGGCTCGCCTCGGCTGGTTTACGTTTGGGCGTGTGGCGGC